ACACACATATAAACGCACAGAATATAAGACACCTACCACCTTACAAATACAAACATATAAATACACAGAATATAAGACACCTACCACCTTACAAATACAAATATATAAACACACAGAATATAAGACACTTACCACCTTACTAATACAAACATATAAACACACAGAATATAAGACACCTACCACCTTAGTAATACGCACATATAAACACACAGATTATAAGATACCTACCACCTTACTATACACAAACATATAAACACACAGAATATAAGACACCTACCACCTTACTAGTAAACAAACATATAAACACACCGATTAGCAATCACTAACCTCCTTGACACACATCTGCATCTGCTCCTTCAGTTGTGCCATGTGGTCGTCTCTGGGTCCTGTGACATGACACTCCCACCGACTGCGCAAGTTCTTCATCTCGCGTTGCTTTATATCTCCAGGCATCATTGACAACGGGACGTCATCACCCGCCATACAGGGATGCCCTGCCTCAGGTGGCCACCCCACTCCCCCAAATTTGGGTAAGGCTGACCGGCTCGATGAGTTATTTATAGAACTACTCCGTTTCGGGCTAGGCCCGGTGCCTATCGACGAACCAATCCCGCTTTGAAAACCGGGACGCGCTATACCGGAGATAGACCTTCGGCTGTCAATCTTACTCGTCACCGCCGCCAGAGACCGCCGCGTGCTGCCACCGCTCGTGGGTACAGATCGCCCGCCCGATCTATTTATAGCGCCTGCAACGGCCCCTACTGCACCTGGGGCGTGCTTGTGAGGACTGGGTCTGCCCTGTTCATAGCCAGCGCCCCCTGTTTCTGCGCCAGGGGTGCTCTCGGGCACTTGCGAGGACACGACTGACACCTGCGATGACACGCCCTTGGGTGCCGCTGGCTTGGGCGGCTGTCCAAAGCGCGTGACCACATCGCGCATGTCACTCTTGGCACTGGCCAAGGTGTCGGCGCGGTCTATCTCCTGGTTGACGCCTGCCACGCCACAGTTCAGCACCAGATACGGTACTATCTTGTGCAGCAGCGTGCGCACGCCAGACATGCGGTCCTGCGAACACAGCAACACGGGGCGCACCAGTCCTATTAACGAGCCCTGGGGCAGGCCCTGCCCTTCCCGCTGCAGGACCGATAGCACCCACCCCAGCAGGTGCGTGCGCAGCTGCGAGTGCTGCGAGTCCAGGGCCACCTGCACCTCATCCAACAGGGCCAACGGTCCCAATTCGCCGTTAAAGGCCGTGAGCGCCTCCACCGCCGCCGAGGTGATGGCGAGCTTCTTATCGCTCAGAGCACTCAGCACACCCGGCAGCAGCACACGCCGCACCTGCTCACACCCAGGGCCCATGCTTTCAACCAACAGCGTGATGCGCTGCAGCGCCAGGGCTATCAGGTTCTTGTTGGAGTCGTGCAGCCGTTGCTTGAGGGCGGTAGGTAGCCCGCCCACGCGGTCGGCCACGTGCTTGCCGGCCTGCTTGAGGATGGTCTGTACCTGCATCAGTGCCTCCTGCCGTGTCTTCCAGTCGCTGTCGTTGAGCTGGTTGCATAGGGCGTCCCCGAGCTTCGGGCTCACGTCAGTGCGCGGTTCGTCGGAGTGGACCGTTCGGTGCGACACGGCCTCGTCCTGCACCTGCATGGGATCACCACGGGCGTTGCCATGGTTACCGTCGCCACCGTCCTCAACACCCATATTGGCAAACTCCTGAGTGATCTCAGCAGTCACACGCCGCGTCAGTCCGTCGGCAGGCGTGAGGGCAGATCCCGCGGACAACTGGCCCCCGACTTCTTTTTTCCTGGGTGCGTTTGAGTCCTCTTTGTATTCGAAACGGGTAGGTGCGTCTGGAGTACTCATCAGTGCCTGAGAGGACAAATTATTCGTAGCCCCATATACATGTGAGAGCAAAGTGTCATCCGCATTTGGAAGGAGAAACTATCTACCGACACTTTGAATGCTTGCCTGAGAATGCGACACCAACTATAAATAAAATGATTGGCATGATGGGCTAAACCTTTGTACACTACAAACATGAATGCGCATGGGACAAAACTAATAACACAGTAATTGGTAAATACAACAGCACTTGTCCATTGCAAGGCCAGTATCAATCTACACCTGGATCTACGGGATGGGTTGTGTATACAAATCTCACAGAACACAAGAATCCATATCTTTGTCAGCAGGTACGACCACGTACAAACACATGTACGTCCACGGACAAAGTGATCCTCACACACATGCATGCGCTCACACCCGCACATACCGCCTTTAACGCCCGATCAATATTCTCAACCATGGCAGCCTTCTCGTCCTCAAAGTGCCGCCTGTAACCCTCACCCGTGTAGGTAAACAAGGTCCTTAGCAACTGCACCACCTCCTTCCGGATGGTCGCGTTGCTATGGCTTACCGCGGTCTTGACAAACTTCACATGCATGTCCATATCACACTTCAGCCCAAAGTCCACCACACACCCGCCCACCCAACTCAGGGTGTGTGCGTAGTTCTTAACATTCGACCCCTCCATCACCGTTTGGGCCGTGACACTCACCACATAGCTCTGCCCCACAGCCTCACACACGGCAGAGAGGGCGCCTTTCACCCCCTGGCCACACTTCATATCGCCGATCTTGTTGACTAGCCCGGGGATGATGTAGGACGCGGCTCGCCGACTGGTGCGATGGGCCTGAGTGGTGCAGACGACGTTGACTAGGTCGAACATCTTGCCCCACACCTGGAAGTTAGCCTCGTTGGTCCCAGGAGTTTTGGCCAGGAACCGGAAGAGCACCTGAAATAAGAGGGACAGGACCGGTTGCTCTCAGAAAGTGGGTATGTCGAGTGGATTGGGAAGGCGAATCGATTGTAGGGTACAAACCCTGAAGTCCGAATAACGAATGGATGAGGTGCAGGTGGACTGCTAGGGTTGTGGCTCAATGTATGGCATTCAGTTGGGAACGCTAAACCAGTTGTACATAGGTTTAGTACATAGATTTAGACCTAATTTCGAAGCGCAGCGTAGACTATGAAGAGCGATAATGAGGTGAGGTAAGCATTACAAATCAGCGAGCTTTGATATTAGCAGGAAACCTTGAGCTGCCAGCCACGCATACAACAAAAAATAAAAGCAAAACTGTATCATTGAGATAAATATAATAAATAAACAGCAAAAGTGTATCATTGAGATAGAGGGCACGCGCGAACAATGACTATAACAACAAGGAATGCCACTTAGATCAATATATACATATAAATATAGAAATACATATAGAAATACATATAGAAATAGATATAGATATAAATCCACATATATATACATATCATAGACATAAACAGACAAACTCACATGCATATATAAATAAATATACATACATACATACATACACCCACATATAATAAAATAAATATATAAAAATAAATAAACAAAAATATATATATATACCGACAGGTACAGACACAGACAAAGACATACACATAACATATAAATGTATACATACTTATAAAGCACACAGAAACAGAAACATACACACCCACATACATACTCAATATATATATATATATATATATAAAATAATATATTTATATATATATTTATGTACATACATAAACAAATATACAGATATGAATTTATTCAAAAACACACAAACACAAACACAGATTTACACATACATACATGCATACACAAAAGCAGACATATAATACACAAAAGCAGATATATATATATATATATATATACATACATACACACACACACACATA